AACGGATCATCGCACCGATATTGTTAGGAATCCATCGTCGTTGTCTTCACAGGCGGACTTGGCGCGGAGGGTTTACAGGTTCGTCTCCCACAAGCTCGCCTTTATTTAATATTGTTAAGCTCGATTCACTCCTAGACCCCTTAATTAAGATGGGGGACTCATAACGGGTTCTGACTTGAGATCAAAACCTCCATTGATTTGTATGTTAAGTTAAGACGGTGTCTCCGGCACCGAATGTGGCATCCATCGTCGGGTCTCACGGGACTGGGCGGAGGGTGTTACAGGTTGTCTCCCACAAGCGCCTTTATTTAATATTGTTAAGCTCGATTCACTAGACCCCTTTTAGATGAGACTCATAACGGTTTTGACTTGGATCAAAACCTCCATATTGGTAAGCTTTTAGTCTTTGAGCATTAACTTTGAAACTCTAGTCTCCACTCACTATTTCAACCACTCCATGTGGAAAATTTTCTTTGATTGTAAATAGTCCAGACCACTTAGAGTGCAATTTCCCTAGAAAGAGACGAAGTCTAAAGTTATAGAGCAATACCTGGTGGCCAACCCTCAAATTTCATAGGATGATGTGCTTATCATGTCCATGTTTAGTGCGATCTTTATAAATTTTGGCATTTTTATAAGCATAGAGCCTCATTTCATTCATCATATTCAATTGAAGTAATCTTTTTTCACCTACCTCTTTGGCATTAGAGTTGAGAAATTTAATTGCCCAATATGCCTTATATTCTAACTCGATAGGTAGATGGCATGCCTTACCATAGACCATTCGATACAGAGACATACTAATTGTTATTTTAAATGCAGTTTTATAGGCCCAAATTTCATCATCAAGTTTCTTGGACGAGTCTTTTCTCGATTGAACAATCGTAGTCTCGAATATTATCTTGTTCTCCCTATTTGTTTCTTTTACTTGTCCACTTGTTTGTGAATCGTATGGGATACCTATATGATGAGTGACACTATATTTTGAAAGACGAAAGTCTGGATACTTATTGCAAAAATGCTTACCTCCATCCATGATTATTGCCCTAAGGGTACCATGATGTATGAAGATGTATTTCTTGATGAAGTTAATCACACTCTTGGCATCAATGTTGGGAAGAGCAACAACCTCCGCCTATTTAGAGATGTAATCCACTGCCACTAAGATTTATTGGTTAGAATAAGAAGATGGGAATGGTCCCATGAAATCCAAGCCCCATATATCGAAGATTTCGACTTCAAGAATGTTGTTCAATGGCATCTCATGTCTCTTGGAGATATTCCCTAACCTTTGGCAACAATCACAAAGATGAACAAAGTTAAAAGCATATTTAAATAAGTTAGGCCAATACAAACCACTTTTTAGTATACGTGCCGCCGTCTTGCTTGCTCCAAAATGTCCTCCACATTCCGTTGAATGATAGAAACGAAGAACACTTTCCATCTTTTCTTTCGGCACACATCGTCTAAAGAGTTGGTCACTGCAATACTTGAACAAGAAAGGCTCCTCCCAATAGTAATATTTAAGATCATGAAAGAATTTTTTCTTTTATTGATAAGAAATATTGGGATGAGTAATCTTGCAAGCAAGATAATTAACAATATCCATATACCATGGAGCTTGCATATTTGCTAGAAGAAGAAGATGTTCATGGAGGAAGTCTTCATTAATTTGCATCTCTTCAAGCCTTTCTTTCCCCAACTCAAGCCTTGACAAGTGATCAGCTACAAAGTTCTCGATTCCTTTCTTACCACGAATCTCCAAATTAAATTCATGCAAAAGAAGAACCCAATGAATTAGTCTAGGCTTTGCATCTTTTCTTTTCTAACAAATACTTAATAGCTGAGTGATTAGTGTAAATTATTATTTTCGCTCCAATTAAATATGTTTTAAATTTATTAAAAGCAGAAACAATAGCTAGAAGCTCTTTCTTGGTGGTGGCATAATTTAATTACGCATCATTCAATGTACGATTGGCATAATAAATGGCATGCAACTTCTTTTCTTTGCTCAAGAACAGCTCCTATGGCATGATCACTAGAATCACACATGAGTTCAAAAGGTAAGCTCCAATCCGTTATAGTAATGATAGGAGCTGATATCAATTCCTTCTTCAACCTGTTAAAAGCAACTAAACACTCTTCATTAAAATCACAAGGAACATCTTTAATCAACAAGTTACAAAGAGGTTTTGTGATTTTTGAGAAATCTTTAGTAAATTTCGTATAGAAAAATGCATGGCCAAGAAAACTTCTTTGAAGGTATTAGTTTTTCAATTACCTTTATCTTGGCTTTGTCTACCTCAATTCCCTTCTTAAAAATTTTATGACCCAAAACAATGCATTCACTAACCATAAAATGACATTTTTCCCAATTTAAAATAATGTTAGTATCCTTACATCGCTGCATAACTAGAGAGAGGTTATTAATACAAGAATCAAAAGAAGAATGAAAAATAGAGAAATCATCCATAAATACTTCAATGAAATTTTCAACCATCAATGAAATTTTCAACCATTTCAGAAAATATAGACATCATACACCTTTGAAAAGTTGCAGGCGCATTACATAACCCAAAAGACATTCTCCTATAAGCAAAAGTACCATATGGACAAGTGAAAGTAGTCTTCTCTTGATTCTCAGGAGCTATGGGTACTTGGAAATACCTTGAATAACCATCTAGAAAAAAAGTAAAAAGGATAACCTACAAGTCTTTTAATCATTTGATTAATAAAAGGTAAAGGGAAATGATCTTTGTGTGTTGCTTTGTTCAACTTTCAATAACCAATACACACACACCAACCTTTGACAATTCTAGAAGAAATCAACTCATTATTATTAGCAATAACTGTCATGCCTCCCTTTTTTGAAACAACTTGAACAGAGCTTTCCCAACTACTATCTGAGATTGGATAGATAATGCCAGCATCCAAAAGCTTAAGAATATCAACTTTGACTACTTCCTTCATGTTTAGATTTAATCTCCTTTGGTGCTCAATTGTAAGTTTGTAGTCTTCTTCCGTAAAAATTTTATGCATGCACACACTTGGATTGATCCGCTTTAAATATGAAATCGTCCACCCTTAAGCTTTCCTATGCTTTCCTAGAACCTGCAACAACCTTTTCTCTTTATCAAGTGATAAGAAGAAATAATAATAGGAAAAGAGTTGTTCTCACCTAAAAATGCATACTTAAAATGGGAGAGAAGTTGTTTCAGTTCTTGCTTGGCTAGTTCACTCTCTTTCTCACTTTTGATGCTTTGGATATTAATGTTTATGTAAACTTTATCAATGGTCAATTTTTCTTTAACATGCAAGGTGTCTTGTACACAATCATCAATAACATCAACTCTAAAATAATCATTAGAATCCATAGGAAGCTTACAAGATTTAATAATATAAAAACAACTTCCTCTTCACCTACCCTTAAAGTTAGCTTACCTTCATACACATCAATCAATGCTCTTACGATTGCAAGGAAAGGTCTACCAAGGATGAGTGATCCTTCTCTATCTTCATCTATGTCAAGGATAACAAAATCAACAGGAAAAATAAACTTACCTACCTTGATGAGCACATCTTCTACAATACCTCTTGGATATTTGATTGATCGATCAACTAATAGAGACATCCTTATCGGTTTTAGCTCACTCATCCCTAGCATCTAGAAAACTTCATAAGACATATGATTAATACTTGCACCTAAATCAGCTAAAGCTTTTTCAAAATCAAGATTTTCAATATTGCAAGGGATAGAAAAACTTCCTAGATCTTTTAACTTTTGAGGCACTTTATTTTTGAATGATTGCACTATACTCCTTCGTGAACATTACTGTTCCTTAATCATTAATCTTCCTTTTCTTACTTAGGATCTCCTTCAAGAATTTTGCATAACTGGGTATTTGAGCAAGAGCTTCAGCAAAAGGAATGTTGATTTGGAGCTTTTATCATATTTTGATTGCTTGAGCCTTTGTGGGAAAGGGATAAGTGGGAAATAAGGCTTTACGTCCTCTTTCTCCTCAAGATCAATAATGAGAATTTTCTTCTTTTCCTCTTCTTGCTTATCTACCTCCTTCCCAAGTCGATCCTCCAATTGCTTTCAATTCCTCAAAGTAATAGCCTGTACCTGTTCTATAGGATTTTTCTTAGTGTTACTAGGTAACGTACCTTGAGGTCTAAAAGCCATCATGTTTGCAAATTGGCCCATTTGAATCTCCAAATTCCTTATAACAACTTGTTGGAATCTATGATTCTCTTATTAGATCCCATGAGTCTTCCGAGTTTCATTCATGAAATCCATATAAGATTTAGAGAGAGTAGTGAGGACATCATCATGAGGCCCTTTCTCTTGAGGAGGAAAACCTAGTGGTGCATTTGGATTCCCATAGGAAAGATTAGGATGATTCCACAACCTGTTATCATAAGAGTTAGAATATGGGTAATTCTTCCTTGATTCATCATGTAGTTGACTTGCTCCAAAGTTTAAAGATTGAGATTATTCAACACGCATTCCCCAACTCCATGTTGTCCATTACACTTGTCACATGCTTGTACAGTAGAATTAACAGAGTTAATGGTCAACAAATCTAATTTCTTTACATAAAGTAATGGTTGTTGCTCACCATCTCTTTTATCAAATCATATGCCTCATCAATCCCTTTTCTTTCAAAAGAACCTCCAATAGCAGCATCCAAAGTGATATTCATGTTATGAGATAACGCATTATAGAAAGTTTGTACCTTTAACCACTTGGATAAGTTATAATGTGGACACTCCACTTTGGCATTGAGTGTGCCGATGGCATCAATCTCATAAATTCCTGCAAGCCTCTTCCTTTCGGAGGTATTTTGGTAATGGTTGTTACTTGCCATCTCTTCTATCAAACATATGCCTCATCAATCCTTTTTCTTTCAAAAGAACCTCTACTAGCAGCATCTAAAGTGATCTTCGTGTTATGAGATAATGCATTATAGAAAGTTTGTACCTTTAACTACTTGGATAAGTTATAATGTGGACACTTCCTCAACACATCTTTGAATCTCTCCTAAGCTTTATACAAACTCTCTTGATCATGGTGGGCAAAAGTCTTTATCTTGTTGCAAAGCTTTGTAGTCTTTGAAGATGGAAAGAATTTTGCCACAAACTTTCAGGCTAATGAAACTTCCAGTAGCGCACAATTGCAACCAAGAACGTGTTTTATCCCTTAGAGTGAAGGGAAATAGTCTCAATCTTATGGCATCTTCAGAAACTCCGTTTTGCGTAAATGTATCATAAATCTCCAGGAAATTGGTGATGTGGTCATTAGGATCTTCACTAGGAAAATCCATACTGAATTGAGGTGGATAGCATTTGAATAATTGCAGGTTTGATTTCAAAATTATTAGCTTCCACCCTAGGCTTGGTGATACTTGAAGTGGCCCTATTAAGAGAAGGAGTTGTGTAATCTCACAAGGTGCGAACAGGAGGTTAAGGCCATTGATTGAGCCGATGTTGCAAGACTTATTGTTCTTCTTGCACTAATAAATTGTGTAATTCTACTTCGCCAGCCATGGTTGATTGTCTTCTTTCTTCATGTTCTTGTTCTCTTCCCATAGCGTTATTTCTTCGGTAAGTCCTTTCAATTTCTAGATAAAAAATCAAAGGTCCAACACTACAATATCTTTTTATAAAACACTTGAAACTTCTTGTAAAAGAAAAATTAAAATAACAAAAAATAAATGTTTAAATTAATAATAGGGTAAGTAGTATTAATATTGGTAATGCCAATCCCCGACAACAATGCCAAAAACTTGACAAGGCAATTCGCATGTGCACGAAATCGCAAACAAGTAATAACGAGTGAGTAGAGCATCGTTCTACGAAAATTGTATACCAAGTACCAAAATTGTGTTAACCTACTATTATTTAAATGACAATAAAGAGAATAGATTGAAAAGTAAAAGAAATAAATGAAAGCAATAAGAAATCAAAAAATCAAAGGTCCAAATCACTGACAATTGTCTTTTTAGTATAACACTTGAAACTTCTTGTAAAGAGAAAAATTACAAGTAAATAAACAGAAAATAAAGTGAAGATTTTAAATTAATAATTAGGAGGCGTCAAGTTTAGTGAACTTAGATATTGGGTAATAGCCAATCTCCCGACACATCGATGGTGGATGGACAAATCGCCAAAAACTTGAAAGGCAAACTATATCGCATCGAAGTGCCGTGAAGTCAAGGCAATACAAAGTAATAACCAGAGTTAGTAGAGCATCGTTCATATGCGAATTGTAAATTACCAAGTACCTACGCGGAAGTAATTGGTTGTTACCTTAACTATTATCTTAAAATGACAATAAAGGAGAAAATAGATTGCGAAAAGGTAACCGGAGGTACAATAAATGACAAGCACAGTGGAAGTCGAAAGTCAAAATTAAAATAAGTGTTGAATGAGAAGAAAATTCAGGAATTTAAAAGCCTACAAAGAGATTTGCATTGGACTTGCCAAGATTGTTATTCGTATATCGCCAATTTAGTGTAGGTTAGTTAGGTTTCTGATACTTCAAGTTGTTTATAATTGTTCAAAATAAGGGAGAAACATCCCTGACTAGTTTCAGGCTACTACCGCTCTCGAGCCAATGTACTTGGTTAGCTATTTTAAATTATGGTCTATTGATGGAAGGATAATCGTTTTCCAATCAGCGCAATCAAACATGAAATTTAACCGTCATTCTAAGTTTTATTATATGGTTTTCGTTTATTAATTCATAACCTATGGCAGGTTGTTTAAGACTTTAATGAAAGCATCCCATAAGTTCAAAAGACCATATATCTTCTAACCGCATATAAAGATTTCATTCCATCGTCTAGTGTAGATACTTACATTTAGCCCTCTTCTCATATAAAAAACCGCTTCTAAGCGGCGATTAAGTTCAGATATCACAATGAAATAGAAAATCATCCATGGGCAGAACTTATGCCTTGAAGCATTGAAGTTACAATAATAATTAAATATCTTGAGACAAAGTGGAGAAAGCAAATGTGGCCTAATGATAATAAACCTAAGATTGGCACATAGAAGATGTCGAAGATTACAATGATCGAATTCTTCCTACGTCTATGATGTAATTGCTTGAAAATTGATTGAGATTCGAGACGGAGGTGAACCATAGATCTGTGGAACATAATTCAACATTTAAACTTAAAGAGACAATTCATTAATCAATCATGAATAAAATGAAAATTAAAACAATAAGGCGTGTTAACAGGAGGTTTAGAGATAAAAACTATTAAACAAATATGCCGTGGGAGCGGAATTTCCTCTGAGATTCTATAATCACAGGAAACGTTTCGGAATGCTTCAATGTCCTTAATAAAGATAAGAAAACTAAGAAAAAGAGTAACAGAAGATCTACCAGATTGGCGAGTTTTCCGAAGATACTTGGATAACTGGTAGTATCGGGTAGATCTCATCCTCTCTCATTACCAAAAACTATCGGTAGGGTGTCTTTGCAATCCGAAGAAAAGGAAAACTAGCTGGACCTAGCATACGGAAAGAGACAATTATTATTTGATGTAGATAAACTCTAGATTTTGTATTGTGTTCTAGCACTTATTTAGGATTACGAGAATCCATACTTTCAATGTGGAATAGGGCAGAAGCCCTCCGATATGACCGTTGGGTCGACTAGGAACTGGAAAAATGCCAAAGCAAGTGTAGGATCTTTGACTATCATTTACATGAGCAGCTCCATGAGTAAGATTATGCCCCAAGTCCAGGCCACTACATCGGCAGCTAAAATAATTAAGCTTTTAAGCCCTCAACTTGTGAGATTTTCAAGCTCTTCTTGGAAAACGAACGGGCCATAAGCATCTGACACAAGGCCAGTCTGGTGGTTTCTTTTATTTGGGCTCTAGGCCATTGAGAGATGATTTGCAGGCCTGATTAATCTATTCACATATAGGTGGAGAGAGCTTCAAGTCGTTCGCTTTCCTTATTTGCACTGGCAGAATGGTGTTGGCAAATTTCTCTTACCATATATTCCTAGAATAGACAGAACCCTGTCAAAGTCTAAACTTGTGATCCAAATGAGGATGCAAGGGAAACACTTAATGGTGGAAAAGAAACATAAAAATAAAGTCTCAAAACAAAAATTGAATTCAAAGTAAAAATGTAAAAATTGTTCTAAAACTCCTATTAAGAAATTAATAACGTAAAAGAATACTATACAAAAAGTGATGACGCCACTGCATCAATTATAACATTATGAATCAAGGTGATAGTAGATATCATCAAGAAAAGATAATATAATAGCAGACAAAAAGTTTTGAGACTTTTTCTCACCTCTCAATTTCTCGTCTTTGTTATTCTTTTCTCATATATATTACCGAGGGTTATCTATTTTATTAACACGTTAGGTCGGAGCACGACTGTTGCTCTATGTCGTACAAATCCAAACCTATTTTTTTACTTACCTATTTTAGAGGGTAATTCCTTTATACGACTACACCTTTTATATGAATGGCTAGGCAGAGTGATGTATATGATTAAGTGTAATGCTATTTAATTGGATATTAATCAAACCGTATTCGGTTTATGGTGATATGATATTTTAACACAATGCATGAACTAAAAAATATTGGTGCCAGCATGCTGCTACGACTTGCCACCTAAATCACCAGAGGAATTGTACCGCTAGTTGGAATCAAGACCAAACTCCCTCACATGCAAGAGATATGGTAAATGACCCGCACAGGTTTTGTCTGCGCAGGTGAATGATGGGGAAACAACTTTCCAGGAAGAGTTACACCATCCTGAAGGATTTTCTGTTAAGTGAGCACAACGCTTTAAGTCAGCTTGGAGTTTTCCTTCCAACTCAGCTCGACAGCATTCCAACAGAAAGGCGCCTCTATGATTAGTTTCCTCCCTTTCCAATATATGATTCGATTCATTCCTTGTGTCCCGTAGTATCCACTGACCGCCTAGCTAGCCTTGAGCCAATTCCCTAGAAAGAGCTAGCCAAGGAGCTTAGTCTTACCCTGCCCTCTTAGGATCGCTTTGCCGGGTTCGAGGATGTCAAACATATATATAATTTCTCTTTAGTTGTGATTCTTAATATTTAACTCAATGTTTCATGCTAAATTAATTGATTGTCTATATTATTTCAAGATTGTTGGTTGAAATGATATCTTGATTTGGAGTATCGTCTTTTAAACTAATAGATTAATATAACTATTATGTAGTGAAGTGGGTGAGTTAGACAGTCAATAAACATAAAGAATATGGGCCCTGTTTCAAGCCTAGTGACTTTGTTTGGCTTTGGAGTTCCTTAACTAGAAGATGTTGGAGAGGCGGGGTTCAATGTCTTAACAGTTTTAGGCTACCCACAATGGGAACCTTGGACGAGTTGCCGACGAATACCGTGATTGTAGAAAAGGGAGTCTTGCACTTGAATGCCCATATTTAATATGCTGCAGCAAAAAAGTCTTCCTTTTGAAGGGATTGCATGATTTATCACAGATTGATCAATTGCTAGTTACTGGCTATTGCACGACATTTTCTTCTAGTTTAGATTTTCAGAAAGGTTGGCTTAATTATTTCTGATTGCAGATGATATTGTTGAAGCTCCTTATGAGGGTAAGAAGGTTACGATGGGATTTCTTGAAATGCAGAGCGAATGATGGGTACTGGCATATGGTTAAGCACTTGCCTAGAGCATCTATTGCACGATATGCTGCTGGATTTCGGATTTAGAGGGAATCTATATTTCCCTGTCTCTTAGTTTGATTATTCTTCTTCAAGGTAATACATCAGTATTTTCCTATTGGTTAAAAAAAAAAAAAAATTAGATCATATATTTTTTCTCTAATGGTAATAGAAATTTTTACAAAACTTTGAAATGATATGTTACTAAATATATTTTATTTAAATAAATCATAATTATTATAATATTTTCAATATATACTATATAATTGTAATATATAGTTAGTAATACATTTATTTCATCCTCATTTTGGCTAAAATATTTTCTGGAAAGTTACTTAAGATTTATTACCTAATTTATTATTGTTATCTCGTTATATATAAGCTTCTGCACTCAATGTCAGAATATTACCAAATTTGAGA